AAAGTAATTAAAAAAAAAAAAAAAAAAAAAAAAAAAAATATAAATAAATAAATATTGGTTCAAACGTGCATGACTGCGCATTTTTTTCACATTCCAGAGGCCACGAACCATTCGCAATGAGACTTTATGAGTAGGGCAAAGATAAAGCACAAAACCAATGAACGTTCGAGTGACAGTCGAAAAATAAGCAAAAGATATAAAGTAGCGAGCACTGCCAAAGAATCGCACAGATTTAATGTAAATCCACAGCTACGAGCACACAAGGACCTCTTGAGGCCAGCGGCAGTTTATGAATTTTCACGGTAATCCTTGAGGTGCATCACAAGCCGAATCTAGGGACGTCGCGACGACACTCACACGTGGTCGGACGGCGGAGCCACTCAAGATGCTTCTAGGTTAGCTCCGGCAGCGCCGAACCTTCTGCCGACTTATTCGATTTTAGACACTGTTAATTGCTGTTAATGAACCGTCTAACCGAGCGAGATCGCAGGAGGGGCGGAAGAGCATCGGACATTCGCACTGGCTGAGGCGCCCGAAGGTTCCCGTGTCGCGGCTCTCAATCGTCTCAATGCCGCGATCAGCTGTTCCCGATTGCAACTATACACGCTCGCATTTCGCGCGACGTCTGTCTCTCTCGCTGCTCCCACCACTGCTCGCCCTCTCGGCCCCGAAAAATCTTCCGACGCAAAGAATCGCCTCCGGTCGTGCGCTCTCTCCTCGTTACATAATCGCTGATCGTCGCGCATCGCTCGCGCGCGGCTGCCGAGATGCGACGCGCGTGGAACTTGGCTCGTTCGTTCCGGAGTTTCGCTTTTATTTGCCCCGTTTTTGCCCATCGGCCTTAATCACAGTTTCAAGTATTGCGGAGTAGCGATCAATTTATATACGGAGATAACGGAGATTTATCGAAATTATTCATTCTGCCGTTCCTCGATGCTTTTGTAAATCCTGTCGAGTATCCTAACATCTATCGAAATGGTCTTGTGTCTCTGTATCACTGAGAATGCAGAATGGGCCGAGAGTACGTTTCGAAAGATTACTCAATAGACTGTGCAGCGTGTAAATAAGTTATATGTTGCATGTGAGAAAGTTTGGTAACGGCATCTTTCGAGAATCGCTTCGCGACAGATAAATAAACTCCAGAAGACAAGAGTAATTTACAAAATTGGAAAACTATCTACAGTCATATTTATAGTGTTATTGTTCGGGTAAAGGCGGATCGTAAGAAACTAGTCGGGGCCGCTTTCAATTGTCCAAAAGTCAAAGCCTTCCCTGCTCGCGACTATTGTCGGTACAGCAGGAACTTTCGTCTGGCTGTGCGATTATACCTACCGGCCCGTTCTACTGCCGCAAGCGGCGCTGCTCTCGGGCTCCTTTCATTTTTCCTAAATGATCATTATGAATATTGCTTTTATGTCAAATGATAGCGACTGAACGTAATGGAGAAAATTTTGAAAAATCCCTTGGGACCCATCTATGCGTTTTATATATTCCACCAAAAGCTCCGGGAGGACAGCTTTCAGTTTTTTCATCAAACTCCTTAATTCTCCGATTTACAAAGAAATGGGAAAGCGATGCGATATTCGATTGTAAAAAAATCGATTGTACCAACTTTCAATTGCAGAATGTACGTAGCACTGAACTTTCGCATTTTCAAATTTCCAGAAAATTAAATAAGATAATATTTTCCTAATTCTATGAATACCCTTGCTAGCTACTTCACTGACTATCACTGAAACAGCCGCTAATGCCGATGCTCTGAAAGCTCTAGAAAGTCTTTCACCACTATGCTATATGTTTGAAATTATTTTTTTTAAAACACATTTTCATTTCATCTTTTACAAAATTTTCACTGAATTCAAGAATTTATGTTTCACACGTATTATATTATATTGGGCTTTATATTATTCTCTCTGTTATACATTATATTTAGATGACTACTATTTATATCAACTATGATGTCATTCATTGTTATATCACCTGTATGGTACATTTCCATATTTCTTGAAAAATCTTATCGATTTGATAATCTGTCTTCGCAAGACGAATTGAAATAAAAAAAATGTTTGCCTAACTTCGGTGCCGTATTGAGAATTTTTCTAAGATGGTTTTAGGGTGCAGCCAGCCTATTGTTTACGAATCTCACGAGGTAAAGTTGAAAAAACCCGCCGAGTGCAAACAATTGTTTGGTAGAACAGAAAGACTTGTAGCTTACGAGTAGACAGAGCGTGGTGCCGTACCTTCAAGTTCTTATAGTTTCAGCTCCAGAATCAAGAGTTCCTTCCTTCAAATCAAATATTCACAAAGGCACAGCCTCTGTGCCTTTTCAATGTCTTGCAATATTCCAGACTCTTTGGCGATGAAGGATGATCAAAAGGTGAAAGGAATTTATAAATGTTTAAAACGATGGATTCGGTGGCTTCGCACTTATAACGTTTTAACACTTTAAACGGATTCGTAGGAGAACTTACGTAACGGAAATACATATATATGTAGTGACGTAAGAATTTGTAATTATATTATATATCGTATATTAAAAATTTTTCTTTATAAAGAATATATTTTTATATCTCATCAATATATCCATAGAAAAGTGCACTTTACATCTGTATTAGTAGACGATTTCTTCAGGCCGTATTAAAACTTTAAAGTTTACGCGTTCCGTTAAGAATGAACAAAAGAAGAACTAATAAAAATCGCATGCATGGCAGCGCAATATTTCCTTGGGTCAATCTCATTAAAGTAAACTATTAAAGCCAATTTTTTAAATCTACTAGCGGACAAAATCGAAGCGCACAAATAACATGCAGTAAAGGAACAGAGAATACCCAGCGGAGCTTCTAACCCTTATGTTAATTTCTGGCGTCTCCGTTAAAAAATATGAATTTAAATCCAACTATCAAGTTATATCGCGCGCCTGCATTATATTTCGTCAAAATGTCCAGTGAGGATGGAAACGGAGACGCATCTGCGAGGAAGTGCAATAAAAATGTCGAAACTCCGGGGAAAATTGATCCCTCGAGAGTGTTGAAGTTAGTGATTTCATTTCTTAAAGTTCTCAATGACCTCCGAACTTCGTCTGTTAAGCAGAAATTTGAAATTAGAAGCCGCTAGTTATTTCCTACGCGACATTTATTTACCGACATGGCCAATTTCTGCGAGAGACATTCACGAACGAAGCTAGGTAAGAAATATGTTTCGTGATGTTTCAGCGAGTAAAGTTATTGTCTGCTCTTTGAAATGACGAAAAGCGAAAGGCCACAACTGCATCGCAAGGGCACGGAATACTGTCTTGTCGGTTGCTTCAGTTGAGCAAGGAAGGCCCCTCAAGAATGTGTCTTTACCTCGCTCAAAATAATTTCGCCATTGATACCGAAGACTGAGCTCAACGAATTTCGAAATATAGGCTGGCGTATAATTGGGTTAGATGCAATTTAACGAAAGCAAAATAAATGCGCGTGAAGATTAAATGAAACAGGATACAATTTTTTTTTCTTTACGGTCAAATCGACAAATTACTCCTGGTAAAGTCTCGTGTTTATGACGTCGATACAAATGATTGGCATCTTTATTGAACCGATTAATCACTCTCATCAGCATGTCATTAGTCACTGTAAATTAAGGCACAAGTCAATCACATTGAAATATTTAGAGAAAACTAAAAAAAACAAGATTATCCTCAATTCCCTAATCAGTTCCTTTAATTGAAAGTCGCCCGAAATAAAAGAAGTGTCGCGACCTTAAGGAACTCCTGGAAAATGTGGTGCGACGCTCGCAGGTCGAGACCAAGACGCGTACTGCGGGAACGTCGTTCGCCGCTTCCGAACTACAACTGCCGTCGCGACGCCTACGACGATACGTTCGATGTTATAAATTGAATCGATTGATTTTCAGCGTCGATACGGAGAAAGGCACGTTCGGCTGAGCATTCGATTCTCGAGAGTTTCGTTCAAGTTTTTTCGAAATTATCGCGCAGTCGTCGCGAAAGATTTTTTCGAAATCGTTTCGCTACGGATGAACGAAATGTTCTTATCTTGTTGTCTTCTTCTTATCTTGGGTCTGTGCAATGAAAGGTAATATTGGATTGATGTGCCGAATAAGTATTTCGACAAATGAATCTTAATGGGGTCGCCTTACAGTATGGACCGAAGGAATTCTTTGGTCGGTTCCGTATTCGGCAGATTTCGAATCACGAATATCGCATAACATTGAGGCTGCCTTGAATAACGCACGAAGTATATCATCAGCTTCCCGTATTGTAATCACGTTCGGCTTCGGCTTCCGTGCCACAAGCTTTCCAATATTCAAAGATAAAAATCTCCTGAAAGGTCCTTCACTAAAACGCTGCATTTTTTATGCCACGGATCGTACCTACCATTAATTCTTTACGATGAAAATCCGGCATATTTCGGGCAGGAAAACGACGCAAAGAGTTGAATTTATTTGATACTTCAGCCGGCAAATAATACGAAACGGTTTGAGCTTTTGCATTCTAGCGGCGTGCAGCTTCTAATACGAAGACTCGCACGTGTCAATTCTTTTTAAAATCGTCGGACATAAATGAAACACTCAACCAGAGGACAAAGTGCTTTTCCAAACTTGTGTAAAATGTAACGTGCGCAGTATGAAAACACGTTTATCGTGATGGAAAGTATCGTTGAATCCATTAACGTAAATTCTCACGTTCTCTTGAATTCTCTTTGTGTTACATCTTCAAAGTTTTCTGTTGGCACAGAAAAATAACTTGGTTTATCTATTTAGAAATGATGAGTTATCTCTGTATCCCCAGATAGACGCGTTCGCTGCAGGTGTTCGAACACCAAAAAATGTGCACAAGACTGAATTTTCGTATTGATTTCAGCTAAGTAAATTGTCCACGTTACTACTTTAACTTCGCGGTTCTATGATCAATGCTGGTCAATGAAAATCAGCCATGCCACTTGTTAGTCGCGCGGGTGAAAATAATGGTCCCTCGATCGAGGTAATAAATTATCCCGATAGTGTATTGAGACGCAGATCTACTATTTAAAAGCATTTGTCTCATAAGGCAGAAAATCAGTCTTAACCTAATTGTTTCTGAATAAGGCGAACGTGACCTCACGCACATGCGCATCGGGTCTTGATATTCAACGCACATGTGTATACAAAAAATCCAATGCTTCAATTTTCTTTAACGTCTTCCTCGTTTCAATTGGATTTCGTGTTATCGGTACGCTGATATCCTAGAACGCTGAGGCCTCGACTTGGGTCATGGCTGTTCCTTGTATGACGTCATGACTGCAAGTATCGCGACACTCGATGGGGTTACGTCAAATTCTAATTAAACGAAAAGCTGCGCCATCGTAAATCGACGCGTTGCGTTTAATTTCATTTTTGCCCGCATCGCCTCTTATCGGTACATATCGCCATGTCAACTCCGTTATAAATTATACCTCGGCAACTTTACATATCAATCATGCGATTTTTCTTATTACGATCAGAACGAGCGGAGGGTGGTCAGTAGCTATAAGGCGTCCCGCTAAGTCGAGTTCAACTGTCTTCCGGTTCATACGGTTATTTTTGTCGATGGTAGGTTTATCGACACAAATTGCCAGCGCAACTTCGCGGGGAGCTTCCACCAAGTTTATAGTAGATGTCTCTGAGCGATGCTTCTCTACGGAGGCGACCAAAATAGTTGAGCGCTGGTATGGCTGTATTCTAAATTTATTAAACCTCGTTGCTGCCTTAATCTTAGAATCCATAGTCAGTTAGACAGTCAGCGAGTAACTGGTAGAAACTCGATCGTCGCTTAGAGAGTGCAGTTTGACTTGTCAATCAATCGCAAAGATCACACGTGAGAGAAAAGGATTGAATAAGGTTTTGTTTTGATCGAAAGAGCACAAAGGTACGACGTACATGGAACCGAACGAGACAGCTGATCGAGAGATTTTTGTGCAGAAATGTGCACTGGGACTCCGGATAATCGATTTTTCCCTTTTCAGGATGGAGAACGATCGGTTTTACAGAAATCTCTGCTCCATGGAAACTCTGCAGTCGGGGAGTAAAGGATTTTTTCAGGAATTCAGCAACGCGGTTGTCGACGAAGTCGGGGATGCTTGGATCACAAAGGTTTTCGGCAAAGCCAATTCCGATGAAGAGAGAATCAGAATTATCTTTACCGACAAAAAAATCAAGGATGTGGTACTGGAAACGTTGAATCGTGTACAGGAATTATATCGGGACAAGAGCGCTGACATATCACTTAAGCGACGACTGGAAGGGATTATGGAAAATGTCGCGGGAAACTATGAAAAAGCACTTCTCCTTCTGAGTCAAGCTGTACTCAGGGCTCCTCCTACAGGTAGGTCCAAGTAGACAAATAGAATTATCCAGAGTTCTATGCAGCTTTCTTAATACCGTAGGAAAAGTTAAAAATATAGATCAAGGGTTAAGTTTAGCCCTGGCTCTATTCGCAAGGGCCGACACCCTCATGGCGCTAAACGAGTATCAATTGGCTCTTGAGGATTTACAGTCGGCGGAAAAGGAGGGCTTACCAGACAGTTTGAGGTACATTTAATTTTTCATACAAAGTTGCCGTTTATTCAGGCTCGATGGATTTCATCAAAAGGAAAAAAAATATGAAAGTACAAAATGTCTCTCGGAAATTTTAAATGCGACGGAGATTGGTCCATTTCAGTCGATTGTTATTCCTGACTTAGCTATAGCTATACAAATTTCAATTACTACATTTGATGCTGCTCTACTTTTCACTTTCACTTTGCTTCCTTACCTCCTCATTTTTCATTTAATTCTATTTTACACTTCCCTTAAGTCAATCCTCGTTACTCATAAAATTATTCGCGAAAAATCCTTTCAATTAGTTTATTAGATTCTGAATAAGGTAACGAGAATTATCCGATAGGATTTATTAATATTTTCGACTAATATTTCTGAGACAGCGAACAAATCGAAACTTACATGCTCTTTGCTAAGTTTTGTTCGAGATTGATAAGCAAGAATTTTTTCGATAAAAAAAAAAACAAATAAAATCGAATTAAAGATTTTTCCAATGATCCTCGTTCCTTTGAAAAGGGTATTACGTCATTTTCTATTTATTCTTGCAGTTTAATGATCGTTATTGTCATTATTTCCAATACTGCGTGTGTCACTTTATAATGATTTTATGAGTAATGAAATTTATCTCAATATCCTATCGTGTCTCTTTATGTACCTTCCTTTAGCTCTGTTACTATGGTATGATATTTATATTACACGATAAAGGCAATTTCTGAAAAAATATGAGTCGTCCGATATTCATGGCGTTCTTACTATAAATGTTTGAAATTAAAATCAAATTTGTATAACGAAAACATCCGAGCATGCAGATAAGTACAGTAACAGTTAGTAATAGGAGTAAACGATATTTAGCCATTGACATATACATGTTTCTCGACATGCTTGTAGAGCGAAGCTTCATTGGAAAATAGGAAACTGCCAACGGACTCTTGGCTTCGGGGAAAAAGCTCGGATTTCTCTGTCGTTGGCAGAAAAGCTGTTACCTCCTGAAAGGATAACGGAGAGAAGAGAACTGATGAAGGACATGGATCGCTTAAATTTCAACGAGTCCCTAGAGAAACCAAAGGAGATTGATAAGGAGCCGAACCGTAAGACAAACCCGTTATCATCTCGTTGGTTTTATAACCAGACACTATTTCGAGACTCGTCACTGACATTCGTTGAAGAAC